TAACCTGGTCTTATAGTTCAGAGTCCAGAGCTAGAGGAAGGCTCAGGCTGGCTGGCTGCAAACTCAGCACGCCGGCTACCACACAGTGAGTCCCTGATGTATCGGAGATTAGAGGACAGGCAGGAGATCAGAACCAAGCAGGCGGATGTAGGCCGGATGAACCAGAGGGGGAAGTCTAAACCGATGTCAGAGATGCGGTAGGTTGTCAGAGCCAGGAGGTCAGAGTTCCGGTGAAGTGCCGAAGGAAAAATCCTTCATATCACAGTTTCAGGTGCAGTATACAATAGAGCTGATGAGGGCAGGCAAATTCAGTGGTCAGGAAATGGTACCAGTCATTACACAAGCGGGCAGAGATCAGGCAGAAGTCAGAAGACTATCAGGCAAGGCTCAGATGTCCAGAGGCATAACAGGTCAGGATTAGGTAGTTGGAACACAGGTGCGCTACAGTAGGACTCACCAATGCAGTGTTAATTTCGTCAGCTTTTTTAAATTTAGTCTTAGTCACAATGACAAAAAATCAATTTTAGTCTTAGTCATATTTAGTTATTGCTTTCCCGATTTAGTTTTAGTCTTAGTCTAAATGACGAAAATCAATTTTAGTCTTAGTCAAATTTTAGTCATTTTAGTCAACACTGTAAATAATGAAACTTCTCCACACACTGCTTCTCTTTTTCTTTATTTTATTTATATAACACTGTGCAGAATAGAACTTCACACAATGATTCTTTTTTTAACATATATCACACTGCACACATTGAACCTTTTGTCGGCTTGTTTCATCATATCCACAAAGTCTTTATCCTCAATGGTCCTTGCAGGCAGGCCAGAACGCCCAATCCACTTTGCCGTTCAGTTCTCCTGGGCTTTCTGCTCTTTGGCGTCAGGTTTGCATGGTGGGGGTGCTCCCAACATCTCTGCAACAGACTTCCCTTCCTTCCCCAACCTCTGATCTGGCTGTGGTGTCACTGTGTCAGGAATCTAGTTGGGAAGAAGGAAATTTAAACGATTAATATCCAGAGTATCAGTAGAACATCTTTCTTCTATGACAAAGAGACAGACAGACACAGGTACAGGAAGTCGCAGTTACACACAGCCACATGCATACACGCATACACATATACATTCACATGCATGCACCCGTGCGCGCACACACACACCCGTTCCCACTACTACAGGCCCACCCGTTCCTTACCTTATTTCATATGTCAGCTTTTGCCTCCTCAGATGTCGCTTGAGATTCCCTGTGTTCTTCCCTGCCTTGTTGAAGCCGGAGACTCTTTGGTGGCGTCCTTGCTACGGTGTTTTCCTTCAAGTTGTAAACGGAATGGCTCCATACATCCAGGCATTGTTTAACAAACCACACACCGGTATCTGCAATGACTGCGAAGTTGAGCTATGAGTATTAGCCCTCTGCTACTACTGACTGAGCGGCACGAGGGACTGTGGGACAGGTGCCATGCAGGGACAAGATAGACAACAATGCGTAATCTTCTATGAAGCTCAAGAAACGCATATTAACAATTACAAATTCATTACAAACATTTACATCTCTTAATGTCCATTCGTCAATGGATCGTAAATTTCGTCTGTCTTAGTCTTGTTGACTAAAATCATTTTCCATTTTCGTCATATTTTTATTTTCTGGAAATAATTTTTCTGAGTTTTTGTCTCTTCACCGTCACGAGAAAAAGGGGCGTTGACATAATATTTTCGATGTCATGGTTGACCAAAATAACACTGCACCAATGGCTCAAAATAATCTGCCACTGATGACTGGTTTGAAGGATGGTTAAATAGAGGTTAATGCAGGTGGATCAGATCAGCAGTAATGAAAACTGGGCAGAGCTAAATAGTTGTGTGAAATGAGTGATTAGAACAGGCGTTTGTGCTGAGATCATGAGGCAAGGTGATGAAGATGTGCATATTATCCGTTTAATGCCAAAAACATGGTTTTGATGGTGCAGCAAATATGGGCTTTTCCAAGATGTTCAGTATCTCCTGCTGTACAGAGGAACACATCACTAGCAAAACATCTAAGACCAACACAGATTATCTTTGTAACAGTGGAGATTTGGCTCTATTTGGTGCTGTGCTGAATTTGGGACCCGGCAGTCTGTACAGGTAGTGAAAGTCCTCGGGTTGGACGGGTCCAAAAAAACTCTTTCCTATTAGAAAACCCATGGGTGCTTCTTCATCGACTATATGATTAAACAATGGAC